TTCACATAGCTAATGTTATCTCATTTCACTTTTCTGGTCTAGCCTTTCCTTTTATCTATGGCTTCGCTTCGCTTCGCTTCGTTTGTACCTAAGGTGCATTCGCCATAGTTTCGGCATTACGACAAACTCGTGTCAAATATATATCGGATTTGGGCGCTCTAGCCAAAATGTGGGAATAGTTATAAGTTTACATCCATTTTTTTACTTTTTATTTTTTTAAATATGAATTGTTTCAAATCTATGTAAGAAAATGATACCACAAGTTTATATTATGTTATTTTATACTTAATAAAATTGATTTAACTTGAATATAAAATTTATTATATAACATACTTTTAGATCAATTTATTATTTTAAATTAGTACTGATATATATATACATGTTTTTTTATATCGATATAAATAATTATATTATTTTTATTTTATTTGTAGTATACTGGTCAACTCAAACATCATTGAAAAGAAATAATGTGATATATTATATATGAAAAGAGTAACAAATAAAAAATATGAAGTATTTCAAAATTAAAAAAATTAATGATAGAAAGCAATAAAAATTTTAACTAAAAAATTTTAAGATTAACATATCCACTTTTAAAGATATATATATTATGTACTTAAAAATTCTAGTTAAAATAAATGTGTCTCTTAAGTATATATGGTTTATATTTCTCATTAGCCAACTCTAATTGATATTGTACAATAAGTAATTTTATCAGTATTTTTACTTTTAGATTTAAGGAGAGTTATAAGTTTTCTCATCATTCTTACCCATTATTTAGTTATTATAATACTAAAAAAATTATTAAGGAGCTTTCAAAGTATTTTATTTGTTTTTAAAAAAAAAAAATACGTATTATCATAAATTAAACGCCAATTAAATTGAATGTGTTATATTTTCTATCATATAAAAAAATTATATAATAATATTTGCACACAATAAAATATATAATGCAATATTTTTTTATAGATTTGGAGTCCTACTTTTACTACAAGAAAATGAGAAAATTCCAACAAAAATTGCAACAAGAATATAACAATTTTCTTATGTTGAATTGAGAAAAATCATGT